GGGAAAGAGTTTTCTGCTCCACTATTCTTGCAACCAAGAGTTGGCTTAAATGATCGATTGCAGTATGGCAGAAACATATATATATGTCGATCGTATGTCATACCTTTATTAAATGGACTAGCTCGACTTCGTTCGACTGAAGTTGCTGATCATGACTGAGCGCTGTCAAATTGAACGTGGCGATTCTCGGGCAAATCTTTGGGCACGATTTGGGCTTTGGGCCGCTATTCGAGACGCTTCATTTGGCAACATATCCATTGTGGACTTTGAGAAACGACTGCAAATGCTTTGTTTGTCTTGCAAAGAATGGAAAAAACAAACCCTCAAGATGGGAGACTACAATGAAGAATAACTTTTAGTTTTTGCAAGGGTTTGTTGCTGCGGTTGGCACACAACGAATTTCCCTTTTTTTTTTACAATTTATTTTTGCAACATTTTTTCGACACTTTTTGCCGCGTTTTGTTTGCACTCGCAAGAAAAATAGTTTTTGTTGCGCCTTTTGTGAATGTGTGTTTTTCTTTCATTCATTGGTTTTTCATTTCTTTGTTTTTTTTTTTTTTTGGTTTTTTGTGCGGCTTTTCAACAGTTTTTCAGGGCGAATTTTCATTTGAGCTCATTAGCCGAGCGCCGTTTAATTTGTCATGGTGGCAAAATCAATCGCATCCTCTCGCTCTCGGGCTCATTAGCGGCGACCAGTTGACAGCTTGGCCAATCAACAATAAATGAATGAGCCACAAAAAAAACCCTTCATCAAAAAAAAATATATATGTATATATAAGTCGCGCCGCGGCTTGACATGTCCAGATCCTTTGCGATCCTTAACAACAGCCACGCATCACGTGCAGGCAATTACAAAATTATGTACAAAAAACAAAAAAAAAAAAATATATGCAAGCGAAGCCGGCGGCAAAATTTAGCGAAAGCATTGAAGAAGCAGAAAAAATACAGGCTTATACTTTTGCAGTCGGTTATGCGCGACGGCGCAATGCCCGCTCAACGACCAAAAACTGCTCAAAATAGGCTCAAAATCAAATGTATGTGGATATAGCGAGCTATACAATTTGACACATTCGCAGTGGGCGTGGCATATATATGTATTTGCCTATTTGACAATGAGATTTCTAAAGTTAAACTAATTTTCGGGCGGGATCCTAAGGGGAGCAGCTGGACTACAGACTAATATTAGTCTCTATTCCAAATGGGGAAAACTATGCAGGATATCCTTTGTTTGTGGGCGTGGCCAGTGATATAATCTACCTGTACAACATGTTGACTCTAGCTTAAAGACTGTGTAAGATGAGATAGATGATATGTGGCCTATTTGCCTCACCCAATGGACGCAGCTCGAAACTGCGAGCGCGAATATCTATGCCAAATTGTCGCGTACGAGCAGAGGGACTTGGCACAGAAGCCAATATACCCGTTTTCGAGACTGTGGACGTGCATGAAACTACAAAATATGTTGAATGCAACGAGTTAAGTGCCGCGCGCCGCTTTTAATAGCGCATAAATTAACATAAACGACGGCGGCTTTCATTGTTTTGGCAATGACATTGCGCGAGTCGCATGTAAATACCGAGTGCTAAGTGCCGCCCAAGCCAATCCCATTTCAAAATCCCTGCCACGGGGTGGCAAGCTCTATGCCGCTCCCTTTCTCACCCTCTCTCTCTCTCTTTCTGGGCACCCACTGCGGTTTTTGTTTGCCCATCAGATAGAAATCTGTATTCCATGCGCCGCCGGCGCTGTTTCAGCTTAGCGCCTAAAGACTGCTCAAACTTACCCCGTGCAGCCTGTGTCCTATATCCTGTGCAGCGTGCGGCATGCCCCTTGCCACACCAGACACGGGCACAGGCATGGGCGCAGGCGCGTCCGGACTTTGCGCCCATCGAGTGGGCCGTACGTTGTTGCACAGTGGTAGAGCAGGGCAATTATTTCACTTTACAGTGGGATTCGGTGTTTCAATATTGTAAATGATGCAATTAAAACTGTCTATCGATAACATCAATCGATTCGTACGATTAATTAGCGAAGATTTTGTATAAAAATTTTGCGAAACTATCGATTTTTAATCGATAGCTATCGATAAATGTACAATCGCACTTGAAAACAGTTTATTTATAAAAAATCAAAAGATATCAAATTTCTTCTATTTGTTGTTTCTAACGTAACTTGAACAAAGCTTGCACGAAATTAATCGCTGTTGAAAGGGGCTCCCATTATACATATACATATACAAGGATTGTTATCGATTTTTGTACTATTTATTATTCAAGAGCAAACGCTTTTAAGAAATCACAGCAAGCATTTCTGAAGCATATCTGAAGGAGTCAATCAATTGCTATCGATTATATATCGATAACAATTAAAGACCAGATGCATGTTTTGGTAATAGCTGCAATTGATTACCCCATCAACTAAATAATACTACTGACAATATGTGCTCCGATATATATTTATCGATAAAATAATCGATTGTGCTACTATTGTAATTTGATAACATATCGATAAATCTCTAAAAAGGCATAGACTGATGCCAATCTGAAGTCCTTTGCGCTGTGCGGCCCACTGTGCGTCGGCGCAACAGCAAAACGCTAAAACGCGTTGGCTTCGCTTCAATAGCCGATTAACGCCGCCGCCGACGAGTGCGTGGCGCAGGGGCGTTCCGTGCAACTGCTGCCACTCGGGGCGCGGCTGCTCACTTAATACGCGGCGCAGCAAGTCAAGTGCGAATCATGTCAATCAGAGCGAGAGTCGCGCGACGCGTGGCCGTTAAAAAAAAAACCCCTCCCAAGAAAAAGTGCTCGATTTGAGCGTGCACGACTAGAGGGTACCCTGTTATAGACGCATCCTAATGCAATTTTGGGTGTTAAATTATGACACCCACACAAGCGAAAGGATTTCGCTTTGATGCAAAGGATTTTCACAGATTTTTTCACTTTTTAGGAAATGGGAAGGAGGTATCCAAAAAGTAAAAGTAAAGATCAGATATACATATGTGATAAGATAAAAAATGTTCAAGTTATACTCCAAAAACCAAGTGTCTATATCAATATTTATCGATATTATAAAAATGTTAGAAAAATATATGACATACGAAAAAATATACTTCAAATCTCTATACTCATACAACTGAAAAGTCAGACAGACAATCCGACATTCGGACAGTTATGGCCATAAAGATGGCCTTCGAAGCTGCCTTCTACTGTGTGTTACAACCATTACACCCTTCTTTTTAATCCATTTTCAATGGATACAGGGTATGAAAAGCGCAGAGAAATGTTGCCCCGCGCACCGACTCGTTGCGACCCGTTGCAAGATGACAAAGTGACAGGCAAATGTCAGCGTTTTGCCGAACCGTTTAAGCTGCGACACTGCTCCGCTTGTCCACTTCACTGCGCAGCAACAACAAACACACACACACACACACACTCACACACACACAGACACACTGCAAGTAGCTGGCAAGTTGGGTTGAGCGCTTTTCCCCCTTTTTCTTTTGTCCCTCATGGTATTTGTTTTTCATTCGAAAGCAACAAAAAATGTAAATTTTCACCCAATTCTCGAAACTGGCACGCGTGTAATCGCCCGGAAGCGCTACCCCACCCCCAACCGACCCGCCCCAGCCCACAGTGCGCGCGCTCTCCTCGGCGCTTCTCGTTCGCGTTCATTGTTCAGCGCATGCGTCGCGGCCAATGTGAATGTGAATGTGCATGTAAATGTGAAATATGAATGTGAATGGGAAATATGAATGTAAATGGTGCACGCCACCCTGTGTAACATTACAGCATTGCAGCGCGGGGTTGCAACATTGCGGCGTGCAAAGCTTTCAGCTTCTGCAAGTTGGCTGCACATGTGTGTGGCATATGCATTATAAGGCGCAAAATTTGCATTGACTTTTGCAACATCAATTGCACATTTTGATGGCCGCCGGGCCCTGTGTGCGTGGCAGCTGTCCGGGCACGCGTTCTGCGCTGGCCAACTGTTATGCCACTGGAAAGTTGCCGCGTCATTGTTGCACACAGAATATTGACTTTTCGCTGTGGCAACAACTGCCCACTCATCAGCAACAAAAACAACAGCCTCAGACCGACTCGGCTGCCGATTCCCATCCGGATTTTGATCCTCTTGCTGCACTTTGACCTTAACACTCTGCGGCGGCAGCTGACGCTGCACTCCACCAAAGTGGGCAACACTTCATCAACTTCGACAAGGACAACGTCATCGACGTCATCCTGCTGCCCGTAGCGTGCAGCGTGCAGCGTGCAGCGTGCAACGTGCAACAAACGCGCGCTAAGCTAATTAGCTGAGTTTGCTGAAAATTTGCAAAACGCCGCCGGCAGCGCCGCGGCAGCAACTGAGGCAGCAACTGTCGCCAGTGCAACAACATGCTGCAACCCTTTTAATTTTTTTTTAGTTTTTTCGGGGCTTGCTCTGGAAAATTTGTTTATCATTAGGAGGGGTTTTTGGCGCAGCGCAGGCAAATGAAAATGAAAATGAAAGCGAACATGAATTATAATTACGTTGATGCTGAGCTACCCTTGCATCGGTTCATCTCTTTCGCAATACCCTTCACAAGGGGCATAACACTTTTGTAGCAGAGTGTGACACACACCTTAAGCATGAATACAAATTATAAGTTTGTCTTTAGGTAAAGGGCCAACTGGGCGCAGAGTAGGGGGATCAAGCTTTCGTAAAAGCTCGCATTGCCGTTTTCCGCCAATTTACCACAGTTGTGGGTGGAATTGCGAAAATCGCTGAAACACGTATTTATTAAGTTCTCATGGAGGGCTGTGGAAATAAATTTGAAGCTAATCGGATGAAACTTAAAACATCATCCAATAAATCTTTGAAACGCATTTACCACTTGGGAAGCTTGGATTCTTTGGCATACGAGAGACATGTCTCAAATGAATTTTAACCAAGTCAGTCAGTTAATCAGGACAAACATATTTATATAGATATATATATAGATAAATATATAAATGTAATTCAGTACTCACCTGCCAATTCACACGTACGATTATTTTATCGTCATCTATCAGTAGGAGGGAGACGAAGTTTTATATTAACACATCACTGAAAGAAGAGAAAATGTTTATTAGAGCAATATTTATAAATATGTTTTCTGTTCATTTCCAGCTCAGCTCAACATACACACATATTTAAATACATACATACATATATGTTTTTTAATAAAAACCAATATGCATACATATATGTTTCTTTCATTTTAAACATAATATGATTTAGTTATGTTTAGTATTACGTACCTGTTTTTTCATAGTTGAGCCCTTCATAGTTATTGTCACAAGCTCCTCATATGCTTAATCTGCCGCCTCCTCCTCTATAGTTGAAACCGCCATCTCCTTCAATGCCATTTCCTCCCATATTAAAGCCGCCGCCTCCTCCTACACTCAAGCTGCCGCCTCCTCTATAGTTGAAGTCGGCGTCTCCTTCAAAATGCCGCCTCCTTTGCTCAAGCTGCCGCCTGCTTAATACTTAGTTGAAGCTGCCGTCTCCTCCTAAGCTGAAGCCGCTTCCTTCTTAGCTTGAGCTGCCGCCTCCTCCTAAGCTGAAGCCGCTTCCTTCCTTGCTTGAGCTGCCGCCTCCTCTTAAGTTAATGCCGCCTCCTCCTTTGGTCGAGCTGCCGCCTCCTCCTATATGGAAGCCGCCGCCTCCTCCTATATGGAAGCCGCCGCCTGCAGCCTAAGGGGCCTACTTGAATTTATGAGAATCGAGTAGTAGAGCATTAGTTGGCATTTCGTTATTTTTTGAATTTCCAGCGCAGCTGGTGGTATACTTGGTACATATATACATATATACATACATATATACATATATACACACATACATACATACATTCATACGCACACACATACATACACACATTCTTACATACATACATACCTACATGCTTACATACTTACATACATACATAAATCTTTACATACATGCATACATACATACTTACATACATACTTACATACATACTTACATACATACTTACATACATACTTACATACATGCATACATCTATACATACATACCTACATATATACATATATGCATACTTACATTCATACATTCACACATAAATACACACATACAACATACATACATATGTACATACATACATACATACATACATACATTCATACATACATACATACATACATACATACATACATACATACATACATACATACATACATACATACATACATACATACATACATACATACATCCATACATACATACACACATACATACATACAAAAATATGCACATACACACATACATACACACATACATACATACATACATACATACATACATACATACATACATACATACATACATACATACATACATATATACATACATACATTAATACACACATACATACACACACATACATACATACATACGCACATACACACATACATACATACGCACATACAGACACATACATACATACATACATACATACATACATACATACATACATACATACATACATACATACATACATACACACATACATACAAACATACATACATACATACATACATACATACATACATACATACATACATACATACATACATACATACATACGCACATACATACACACATATGTACTCACATACATACATATGTACACACATACATCTACGAATATTTATATATATGTATATGTAGAATAAGATCTAAGGTTGAGATCACGTCGCACAAATAATTCATTGTTGTGAGTGGAAGGGTATTTTCTCTTCGGCAGTTCTGTGCCGCACAGTTCTTTATTATTGGTTGCAACGTTGCGGGGAGATTTGAATATTAATGGTTTTTTTTTTTTTGGTGCCTGTTGTTGCCACATTGCCACACGCGGCGCCTGAGCCTGTGGATTTGGAAATCTTTGGCATTGTTTGCATAACATTTGGCAATTATTGCTACATCCTTGCTGACAGTCAGTGGCCAGGTTGCCAGGATGCGCTCTAAGCCGGCTTAGGCCAGACAGGATGCGGAGCAGCAAATGTCACCTTTGTGCGCGCGTGTGTGCGTATGTGTGGGGGGGTGGGGGGTAGCTGCCTCAGCTGGCAATCGCAGCAGCAACTGCAGCGAAAGTTCAGCGCCCGCGGCCACAAAATTAGCGCAAATTGTGAATTGTAAATAGTAAATTGTGAATGCCAAGATCAGTGCGCCCAGGCATTAGCCAAAAGGTGAAGGCAAGGGCTGGGCCAAAGGCAGCCCCAGATCTAAAGGTAAACGGCAGCGGTTCGCAGTGCCAGCGGCGCGTTTGTCAATCAAAAGGTGTGCGCGAAGATCGCGAGTTGGCATCTGGCTTGTCGACAGTCTGAAACGAAGACGGAGACGGATTCGGAGACTGAGAGTCAGTCGGCAAACTGGCGGCGTTTGTGTCTTTCAATTGCGCCTCGAGCTGTGGCAGCCACTTCCTTTGCGGCCAGCTGTTGATTAACTGCATAATGAGGCCTCGTTGTTGCCCTGTCGCAAAGGCCTTTAAAGACCTTGGCATTCGTTTCCGATTTATTTCATTATTTCTCTCTTGTCAATCATTTGCATATTTCGCACTGCAATCAAACAGCTTTCCAAGGCAGTGTACAAAGCGCGTTTCCAACTCTGGGGTTCAAGGTTTGCACAGAGCATAAAAGCTCTTGCTCTCGCGCTTTTACGCTCTCGAGAGAGCCTCTGATTTTGTCTAGTCCCTTTTTGTGTTGCATTCGCAAACGTTTTACCGTCAGCAACTATGCGACTTATGCTTTGTTGTTTTGAGATGAAAGGAGAAAGAGATCTTAAGAAGAAGATAGATATGGAATCTTGAGAAGATTCGTTCTGTGCATCTGCAACTCTCCCTCTAGGGTTCAGAGTCCTGGCTCTCAACATTTAAGAGGGAGGATCATTTAAGGATAACAATTTTGTTTGAGATCAAATGCACAAAAGTTTAGCTATGCATTTTACAACAATTTCAAGAAGAAGAAACCCCATAAAATGGACATACATTTACCAATTAATTTAATGCTAAAAACATTATCGAATTGAATGCATACGATACCATTTTATTGTTTAAACAATTTACAGGTAAAACTTTAACGCTCTGTCAGCTGTGGACAGCTCCCCCGCACCCCCCCCCCCCCCTATCTTAGAGCTGACACCCCCATCTCACACAGACACACATGTTATTTATCACATTTACAAGCAATTAATAAAAAAATGTTATCGATTAGACAAGCGACAGGTAAAAACTTAAGCATGAGAATGAAGAAAACGCGAGCCGGAAATGCGACGACTGTTGTCACGGCTAAGGAAAATGTAAATTTTCTTCCTTTAAAGGGTTGGCTGAGTGTGCGTGTGTGCGTGTGTGTGTGTGGGTGGGTGTGACTGTCAGCGACATTAGAAAATTAGTTTAACGATGCGGGTGAGCACAGCTGGCGATGAGCTGAACGGAGCGCAGCAAGTGCAACCAGCAGGGGCAGAGCAGGAAGAGGAAGAGCATGAGGAACTGTTACCGGGAAATGTCTAGAGCCAAATATAATAAAAATAATTCAATTAACGCGCGTCCGCTCAACTGTTAAATGGCCTACAAATTAGAGCCAAGCCCACAAGAATGCCAGAGCTGATGACAGGTCGACCGAGCCGTGGCAGGGGAAGATGCGGCGGCCGGGGAAGAAGCAGCAGCAGCAGCAGCGTCAGTCGGCTAGCAACCTGTGCGTTGCTGCGGATTAAGCGGGTCTCTGCGGGTTTTTCACAGAAGCCCAACAACAACAAGAACAACAACAGCAGCAGCAGCAACAACTGGTACCCTGTCGGCTCGAGCCGCACTCAAAACGAATTACAGTGCGAAACAGGCCGCACGCTCCGAGGGCGTCAAAGTGTTAACAAGTGTCATGTCAAATGTCGGCTGTCGCACGAGCTAAGCCAAAGCAGATAAGCGAGCGAGAGCGTGCGAGCGAGACAGATGCTGAAACGGACAGAGGGAGAGATCAGTTCAGCTGCAGCTGTTGTTGCCGACGCAATGGGGGCGTGCTGCTGTGCGTCCCTCATTGTTCCCTTCGGACTACCTGCTGCTGTTTTGAGCAGCACAAGCAAAGCAAATCACTTGGTCAAGCAACAGCAGCAACAGCAACAAAAACAACAACAGCAGCATTTACCGCAAAAGTATAGCATTCATCTCGACAGCTGAAACAACAACAGCAATTTGAGCTCAACTAACATGTCAACCAATGGGCCCGCAGCTTTTACTCTCTTGAAGCAAAAGCAACACAAGAGCGAAAGAGCTTGCAGCCAAGCCTGCGCATAGCCAGAGTACAGCTAAAGAGAGCCGAGCTTGCGCTCAGGTCGGCTCAATTTGCATGTTGGGCTTGATTTCGACAAGCGAAGGCAAGGATGGAGCTGGTGAGCGCAGAGCAGAGCAGAGAGCAGACTTGAGCTAAGCTCACTGTCGAAGAGAGAAAACTCTCTGCTGCGCTTGCTGAAAGCTGAGATTTAACCCGCTTCTCTTAGTCACTAGGTTAAGTAGCGCTCAGTTCAGCTGCAACTTCACTCTTTTGCATTTTAATCAATCCAAAAAGACCAAAAATGAGACTTTGAATAATATAACTAATAATAATATAATTAATAATATATATATTTCAGCAAGAACATCAGCTTATATCTTAATTTAATCAACGTCAATATATGTTTGACTTCAATCAAGAGTTCCCGTTAGGTTCTCTTAAAAGCAAAATTCCAACTAGAAGAAGAAGAAATTTGGCTTTTGTTAAAGCTTTCAAGTGAAGACCTAACCTCACTTGTAGTCTGAAAAGGAAAAATTCAAATTTTGTGTTTGATGCAGCATTTTATTATGAGAAAAAAAAAGGTTTTAAAAAAAATTGTTTTCACTTAAGCATAAATAAATAAATATAAAAAAAAAGGTTTTTTTTTTACAAAAACTACATAACAGCAGTGTAAAAAAAAAAATTAACTTAAATTCTAATTTATGTACATTAAAAAAAAATTAATTAACTGCAACTTAAGAACTAAATAAGCGTCATAGTTAAGCGTTTTCCCCCGTTTGTCAGCGT